CTCCCACGCTCATGCTCTTTCTCTCTCAAAAATAAACATTTAAAAAATTTTTTAAAAAAGGGGTGACTGGGTGGCTCAGTCGGTTAAGCGGCCGACTTCAGCCAGGTCACGATCTCGCGGTCCGTGAGTTCGAGCCCCGCGTGGGGCTCTGTGCTGACAGCTCAGAGCCTGGAGCCTGTTTCAGATTCTGTGTCTCCCTCTCTCTGACCCTCCCCCGTTCATGCTCTGTCTCTCTCTGTCTCAAAAATAAATAAACGTTAAAAAAATTTTTTTTTAATTTTTTTAAAAGAAGAAAAGAGGGTTTTATCTATTGAACTCTAACAACAATGAGGATTTTAAAACTGGTTTCCAAGGAATCCTACCTACTAGAACTGAGAATTTATGGAAAGTGGCAACCCTATTTGAATTAGGAAGACTGATCTTTCCTGCCTGAACAAAAGCTGTATGTTTGTTTTATCTGGTTGATCAAGAGAAGTAGGGTAGAACAAAAGACAAATTCTGCCAAAGCCTAGAGGAAAATTATTAGAAGAGAGATGCAGAGAAAGATGGAATAAATTCCTACGTATTTTGTTCCATCGTGGGTGATGCCATCATAGCTCTGAGAACTAATGAAATATGTGAAGCAGACATGAGAACCCATGTATCTTCTGCTAGCCCAGATATTGAAGAGATTTTAAATAATGTAAAACAATGCCACTCTTTTTATTTTTCCTAAGAAAAAAATCTTAACATGCAATGAGTATATATTTTTAATGAATTAAAAATATTTTAGAATTTTCTCAGTTTTATTTTTGGTAAATAGCAATATACATATATATATGTATATATATATGTAATATATATATCACATATATACACACACATACATGTAATATATATATTACACACACATATACATGTAATATATACATATATATCATATAGATATCATATATAGATATCATATATAGATATATATATAGCATATATATGATATATATCATCCATATAAGCAAAAGCTCTTTGAGGTCAATAACTTTTAAGAATGTCAAAGAATCCTAAAACCAAAATGTATGAGAACCATTGACCTAAATCATAGTTTAATTTCTTTATTTAACCTTTAACACCCATCTCTCCTATAGCTAGGAGATGCATATTAGAAATGCTTTCAAAGTTTCAATTGTTTTCCTAAATCTATACCAAGTTATAACAACATCCTAGTTCTCTTTCATCTCTACAATTTATTTTTCCAGCCTCAATTCCCATTACTCCTTTTTACATTTATCATACTTTTTTTTTTTTTTTAAGATTTATTTCGTTTTGAGAGAGAGAGAGTGCAAGCTGGGGAGGGGCTAAAGGACAGAAAGAGAATCTCAAGCAGGCTCCACACTCAGCACAGAGTCTGACAAGGGCTAGATTCCACAACCCTGGGATCATGACCTGAGCCAAAATCAAGAGTTGGACACTCAACCAAATGAGCCACCCAGGCACCTCTCCATTTATAATACATTGTAATTCACTCAAGAATTTCCTGCCTCTTGGAATGCCCTGTTTCCCCAATCCTCCCATATCTGCATAAATTCCATAATGCCTTTTACATAGTTACCCTGTATCTATCCCCTATACAACTTCCTTAGCACACCTGACCTATAATCCCATTCTGGGGTCAATTCATTTTTCCTATGTAGCCACTTGTATTCAAAAATCTTTTATCCTACTCACTTTTTTCCTACTCTCTCTTTAGCAGATGTATCCATTCCATCTTACCAATGATTCTTAGTTGCAGATGGAATCTATTATCAACCAATTAACTTGTTCTTTATCTACTCACGAAATATAGTTAAAACATATGTCCCAATTCTCCTAAAAGACTAAATGTTTATCTTTCACCATCCTTTACATTTCCAAACAATTCACTTGCCTGTATATTTATCCAAATGAACTAAGAATATTCAGAAAAATATCTGAATGTGACCTAGAGCACGTATGCCAAAAAGTATTTAATAATGTAAAATTCCATTAATCCAGAATGACTGAAAAGGTCTATCTTAGTTAACATAAAATACTAATTATAAATGATATATATATAAGGAAGTATGCTATAAAATGCCATTTTTATAACACAAATAGTAACACAAAAACTATACTGAATATCACTTAATACTTCTTTCATGATTCAGAAAGCAAAGACATGTTAGATCTTGTATTATTAGGTTATCACGTGAACATCAAGATAGAGAATCAAAACGTCTTTAAGGGCACACTGTCTTATACTTCCTTTTACATGCCCTATTGCAATGGCAGAGACCTGGGTACATAAGAGAGTCATAAATACTTGCTGAATTTCATACCATCATTTTGTCAATTAACCTCTCAAAAATGAAATGCACAATATATCCCCCCAAACAACAGAAGGAAATCCACTTTATTTGTTTAAACTTTCCACTGATTTCAATCCTAGGCCAAAGGAGAATTACTATAAATGCTTTTTTGATGAGCCATTTTCATCATTTGAGATGAAACAGTCAATCTAAAATGATGGCAATATAACTAATTATTTGGCTTTTATCTGGCAAGGATTAGAGAATATGGGAAAAGAACTATCAGGTTCAGTCCAGAATATTTTAAGTGAATGTTAGGAGCCTAAATATCGTGGCTGGAGCAAAAGCTGCTGTGAAGAGCTATGAATGTGCCTTTCAGTGCTATGACCTGTGAGATCAGACAGGCAAGTTTGCAAAAATCCAATGGCAGCAAGGAGAAAATATACCAAAGTACACAAATAGGAGAATATAAAGTAACTGAATCATACCACTGTGTACCAAACCAATTGCTTTATAGAACAAAGTTTTGGAAAATAGAAGCCAAGATTAAAATTTTCAACAGAGAACTAGAGATCATAAAAAGTGACATAGTGGACCTGGAAAAACTAGCCAAATAGAAATGCCAGGACCAAAAAGTAAAATAACCAAAATTAAAGATCCATCAATGGACCAGTTTAAAGTAACATATCAGATAAAGCTAAGGAGGGCATCAGCAAAGGAGAAATTATTCAGAATACAGCACAAGAAATAAGAGAATGAAAAATACAGAAGAAAAAAGATACAAAGTTTATAGTAAGAAGGTATATTTTGCATTTAATTAGAGTCCGAGATTTAGAGAGAAAGGGCAGAAGTAATATTTGAAGAGATAATAAGAATTTCCCCTTAACTGATGAATTATTACTCTACATATTTAACAAGCTCAGTGAATTCCAAAGCAAACTAAATAAAAAGAAATCCAAATCTAAATACAAAGTAAGTGCAAAAAACCAGAGAGAACATTTTTGTGAGCAGCCAGTGAAAAAAAATACAAATTACAAAGAAGTAACAATTAGAATCAGACTTCTCTACTGCAATACACAAAAATACAAGTCCTGAGTAAACTGTATTTATTCCAACAAAGCAAGGTTGGTTTAACATTTGAAAAGTCAATATAATTTACCACCCTAGCAGAATAAAAGAAAAATCATATGATTATTTCAAAAGATACAGTTAAAATCACAATACCTCTTCATGATTAAAAAAAAAGAAACTCATAAGCTAGAAGGAACAGAGGGGCTAATAAAGTTTATCTCCCCAAAACCTATATGATCATACTTAATAATGAAAGCTTTCCCTTTGCAAAAAGGAATCAAAGGATGGCTGTTATCTCTGTTTCCATTATCTTGGTAGTGTCAGCCAGTTCAGCAGCACATAGATGATATCAAAGGTACAATGATTAGAAAGGAAGAAACAAAAATCATCATTATTAATGTGATATGATTGATTTTTGTTATCAAAAACACAAAATTTAAGATCTTTACAGGTAAATCTGTGGTTTTCCCATATTTACTTCCCTACATTTGCCATCTCTTTTATAATAGCAACAAAAAGAATTAAGTGCTTAGAAATAAATCTAATAAAAGATGAGGAAGACTTCTACATAGAAGACAATTATTGAGAGAAATCAAAACAAAAATAAATGGAGAAACATACCACATTCATGGATTAGAAGACTCAATATCATAAAGAGGTCAATTATCTCTGATTTTGTCAGACTCATTACAACCACAATCAAAATCCAAACAGGTCTGTGGCTGTACAGAGAGTAACTAGAGGCAATATGACAAGCTAAATCTAAAATTTATATGGAAGTGTCAAAATTCAGGAATAGCTAAAATACAAAGCCTTGGAAAGACAGAATGGTTTTAGAGAAGGGATAAACAGAAAAAAATAGTAAGTTTATTATTTAGAACAAAAAAGCAGGCTGAGAACCAGATCCACACACACATGGTCAGTGGTTTCTCACAAGGTAGCAGAACAACATGGAGAAAAGATGGCATTTTTGATGCATAGTACTTGGACAACCGGCTATCCACATGGAAAGAATATTGGATTCCTGTTGTACATGATGCCCATATATCAAATTTGAGAAAAGAAAAATAACGAAGGTTTTAGAAGATAATATGGGAAAATACCTTTATGACTCAGAACATAAAAAACTAAGGACACTAAAATTATAAACTGTGAACAGGCAAATCCACAGAAGGGAAAAGATATTTGTAACACATATAACCAATAAGTGGCTCATATACTGAAATACAGAGAGCATATATATATATATATATTATATATATATATATATATGTATAATATAAACAATGAAAATCAACAAACCACAGCTGTATGCATTAATATGAATGTCAGAAACATCACGCTGACTAAGGAAAGCCAGACACAAAATACACATTGCATGATTTGTTTTAAATCAGTTTAAAAGAAAAAAGCAATATTGTATATGACCTGAGGTGCTGTCACCCTACAGGGGTACCTGGAAGGGGAGGACTTTCAGAGCAGAACCAGTGATGTTCTATTTCTTGACCTGAGTAGTGGTTACACAGGTCTGTATAACTTTATTGAGCTATTCTCTTATGTTTTATGTACTTTTATGTATGTCCAATTTCATATGAAAATGGTGTAAGGAAATTAAACTAAAAAGCTTACCCCGAGACTAGCATCTGCCCATTATGAGAAAAAGCACAAGCCAGAACAGGAGCACAGTGCCCACTCAGTGTACTTTTATATTTTAATTCAAAACCTGCAAATAACAAGGTGAGAAAAATTAGCAAGCTGACTGTGCTTAGAATTTAAGTCAAAACTATTTCACTTATTCATTTTAATAAAAAAATTAAAAATTAAATAATAACTAATGAATTAAATAAATAATAAATAATAAATAAACTTAAATCTTTAAGTGCCTAAACAATACAAAAATGAAAAAAACTCCCCCTGCAACTCAGGTACTGGAATGCAGTGTGATTAAGTGGTTTCAGAAGTTCAGTAATGAATAAAGTAAATGGTGCACTCAGCAAAGGTGCAGAGGATTGTAATGATCAAATGCTTTAAAAATTTTTAATGTTAAACTCTATAAAATACATAAAAATATGAAATTTTAAACTAATATAAAATTTTAAAATACAGTATAAGACAATCTTGGCATCTAATTTTAAAAAATATAAAAAATATACATATTGGGGTTCCTGGCTGGCTCAGTCAGTGGAGAATGTAACTCTTGATCTTGGGGTCATGAGTTTGAGCCCCATGCTGGGCATGGAGCCTACTTATAAAGTATATATATGTTAAAAAACTAAAAATACATACACACATACATATGTACATATACACACACACAATTGCCCAAATGCCTAAAAAGGAATCAAATTGCTCAAATGCCTAAACAAAGATCAGTTTTCAAAATATGATATTAAAAAAATATTTTCTCATTCCACAAATAATCAATGGTAATTTATCCATCTTATAATGCTAATATATAATACTCCTACAAAGTATGGGAACACTAAAATCCTTTTCATACCTTCTATAATTACTGAAAAGAAATAGCACAACTATTTTAAAGGTAAACCCAGGGAATTCAATACATTTTAGTGACAAGCTATAAAAATTATTAGGAAGTTGACCTGAGGAGATAAGGAAATAAGTGAAATCTATTAATTTTCTCAGACCTAATGAAAACTGTTTTGAAGTGTTAATGGCTCTTATGATAACAAGCATTTAATTAAACAAAAAGTCATTAGAGCAGGTAAAAGTTTCAACAAGTAGGAAAAAATATTTGCAGTTTGTAATTTAACTGAAGCTTATTAGGTAACAAATAATCAAAGAAGAATATTTTTAGGCATCTGAAGCAAGATGGCCAAATGACCATATAATTTCAGAGTCCTCATTGAAATGATAGTGGAAGAATTAATAAAGATATAAAATCACATCAATGAAGAGAATAGAAAGAGAGGTATCAACAATCCAAAATTCAAACCAATTCTGGAAAGTCAGAAAGCAAATTAACTAATGAGGAGGAAAAAGTAACAGCCCAGAGTGCAAAAGGAGAGGCTATGTCCAAGAATACACCAAAAGACTTAGGACTATCAAAAGCTAATGAAAAGGAAAGTCAGAATGACACAGACATCAACCTGAAAACAAAAAAGTTAGTGAAAAGCCTGTTTATGAAACAGTGTCTACCTTTAATTCCTCCCTGGTCCCACCCATAGCATACTGAACGAAAGCCTGATACTGCTTTCTGAGCAAAATATTTCTAGGGAAAATAACAGCTTTCTGGGGAGCTCCCTGGCAGCTCCAGGGCAATTCCCTAAGCCCCTAAATCCTCCTCAGTAAGGGCCAACAACCCTTTAATCGAAAGAGAAGCCAGCAACAACAAACCACTGTGTGCATAGACCCTCTAAATACCTTATTTTTGCCTAGTTATTAAATGTAAATGGAAAACAAGGATCACCAGACATTTGAAGAAGGTAACCATATGAAAGAGAAAGATCAGAGTAAACAAACAAACAAAAGGCCCAAGAGCAAACAAAGATAATCAGGAAACCGAAGGGAACAACAAAACAAAAAGCCTCTAATTAATACCCTGAGAGTTTTAAGATGATCTTGCATTCATAAAATAAAAACAGTAAGAGAAAGAAACAGAAAATAATATGAGCTAATAGAAATTGAAAATATGATGGAATAAAAAATTCCATAGGGAATGAAATTAGGAGGTCCAACGTTCTATTGATGAGAGTTATTAAAAGAGAGGACATGGGGAAGAAATTATTAAAGAAATAACTTAAAGGAACACTTTTTCAAAACTGAATAATGTAAGTTTCTTGACTGAAGGGTCACCTGAAGGAATAGCGCAATACAGGGAGGAACGACCTCCCACACACTATCAAATAACAATCCCTACAGTGAATACATTTAAAATATAGTGGTATAACAATATTTACAGAAACTGTGAAAACCACCAAGAATTGCAAACAGATAACGTGCAAAGCGGTTACCTCTGGTCAGCAGAAATGTGTGTGGTGATGGTGTTGAGGTCATAATCAGTGATGAGCATCCAATTTTTAAATCATGTATATGTAATTTCTCTGATTAAAATTTATTAAAGCATATTTTTATAATCACTTCTAGATATCCAGAATTCCTTAAGTAAAAAGAATCATTCATATAGAAATTCTATCTTGACTACAAATAATTTTAGAGAACTACTAATTAATACATACCTAAGATATGGGTAAAAGAAACAACCCAAATTTTGATCTGGCAATCCTGACCACATGATGCCAATCGAAAATACTGAAGACCTTGCTCTCCATCTAAAAACATAAAATTTGTTAAAAATAAATACACAAGAATTGATAAAACATTTAAACCAAAAAATTTCCCACTTCCTATATCGAGATGTTAATTCTATTCATTTAAACCATATTCACAAGAGATATTAACTTTAACCAACATTTCATTCTATGGTATAAGAATTTATTTTCAACAAGGTACTTCAGAAGATTAGGACTCTAACCCCTGAAGTTGCTTCAACAAAATACCTTTTTTTATTTACCTTCCATTAAGGTAACTCAAGGTTCCATGGGCCAATATTGAGCCACTAAGCCTAGAGAATTTTCCAGCCCAATTTTAGAGTCTATGAGGCTAGCACTGATGGGAAAAATTAGGAAGAAAAGTTATGAGTGTTAAATGTTTAATTATTTCCAACTTAACTTTTTTTTTTTTTTTAATTTTTTTTCAACGTTTATTTATTTTTGGGACAGAGAGAGACAGAGCATGAACGGGAGGGGCAGAGAGAGGGAGACACATAGAATCAGAACAGGCTCCAGGCTCGAGCCGAATTGCTCCAGAGCTCGACTGCCTTAACTCACGGACCGCGATCGTGACCTGGCTGAAGTCGGACGCTTAACCGAAGTGAAAGCCACCCAGGCGCTCTTCTAATTTTTTTTTTTTTTTTTTAAAGAACATACCATTTTTTTTTTTTAATTTTTTTTTTTTTTTTTTTAACATTTATTCATTTTTGAGAGATGGAGGGAGACATTGGGAGGAAAGTAGGGGAGGATGTCAGAATCCAAAGAAATACAGTTCTGAGCCGGTCAGCACAGAACCCGACACGGGGCTCGAACTCACGAACGCTGAGATCATGACTGGAGCTGAAGTCGGATACCTAACTGACTGAGCCACCCAGGCACCCCAAGAACATACCCATTTCTTAAAAGCTTAGTCTATAATTCACATGAAATAATAATGAGATTTTTCCCCGCATTTGATTTAATCAAGACAAATGCTGGAATTATATGAATCCAAAATAACATTAACTCGGTCTATTTTATTTGGTGGAAATTATACAAATTAGGGAAAGTAATCAGTAAATTTGGTGTCATAAAAAAATCCATTAGTTTGTAATGTTTAGTGAGATAATTTCAGTGTATAATTACATACACACTAGATAAGCTCCTAAATACCTGTTGGTAATGTAAATATTGAAATCAACTCAATTTTACATAAGTTCCACCCAACATCATCACACATGTAGCTTCATCAAAGGAAGTTTGGGCTCGGATATGTATGAAGATACAATTAAATGCGTAAGCACAGGGGAGGTTCATCTGAAGTGATTTTTACCTGAAATCTAAAGGATATCTAAGAGTAACCAGGTGAAGGGTTCACATGTAAAACCCTTGGAAAAATCTTACAAACATTCAAGGAATGAAAGGAGGCCAGTGTGGCAAGAGAATGCATGAGGCCAAGTGTGTTTTAAGAGGCAGGGAAACAGAGTGTGTCAGGCTTTATGTTTTGGATTTGGCATTTTCTCTTACCTTAAACTTATTTTAACCATTCACTGATAGGTTTGAAATAGGGAAGTGCCAAAATGATCCTGCCCACCTTCTGGCCCTGGGCTGTGCAATAAAGGTAGTCACTAGCCACATGTGGCTCCTGAATGCCTAAAATGTGGCTAGTATAAATTGAAATGTGACATAATACACACACCAGATTTCAAAAACCTAGCACCAAAAACTAGTAAAATATCTTATTGTTACTATCGATTACTGAAATATTTAATATATATTGAGTACAATTAAAATATATCATTAAAATTAATGTCACCTACTACTAAAAAATTTTAAATTTACAAACGTAGCTCCCATTATACTGCTAATAGGACAGCACTGGTGGTGTAACAAGACTGGAAGCAACAAAGGCAGAACTCCCATCCTAACACAGGGGATGAAACAGAAGAAGAAAGCTTCCCAACTCACTGCTATCTATTTAAAACCAAGAGTCTATCTATATTCAGGAGTCTGTACTTCTTCTAAAAGCTAATTGTGTTGTTAAACATGTCATAAATTTAGCTTTTGCTTCAAAGATTAAATTAGTAAACTTTTGAAAATTTAGCTTGTTTCCAATTTTTTTTTAACTTCACATTTCTCTTTGAATATTAACATACTGTATTTTAAAATAGGGTCAAGTCCTCTAAATTACCATATCCAAGGAATCCAGATGTACTGTACAAAGCTGAGTCATCACCAACATATATCCAAGAACCTGATTTTCCCCTATCATGTTCTTTGTGATTTCATTTTGATCAAGAGAAAGGAGAATGATTTCCTTAAAAGGAATGAATTAAAGGGGCTTCTCATTTTACTAAAGGTGAAATGAAAATGAATAAAGAACCAGAAGTCATATACAAATTACAAATAGGAACCACTAGTGCTTAAAAGAGTAAAATAACTAACCAGAAACTGGCTGTGAAGAAAAATCACAGCAGGTAATTCCAAGATCATGTGCTTTTTCACTATGCAAACACCTCATTTTATCATCCCACACTGTTAAATCTCCACACGAGGAGCCAGTGACAAAGAGGTTTCCATCAGGAGAAAATGCACAGGCCACCAAGGAGCCATCCTTAACACTACCACACCTGAAATAAAAGCAAAAAAATAAATAAATAAAAAGAAGAAGAAGGGGGAGGTTTTCATTTCAGAGTATCTTTTACCTTATATTACAATTTCTAACAACAGCTTGATATGGTAAAAACAGGAAAAATGGCTATCTGAGAACTAGAAAGGGCAGATGTCTATATAAATAATCATACACTTAAAAAAAAGAGGCTCTAAATGTTATCTTAACTAACGAATTCAAGCCTAAGCTATACAGATCTAAACCAAAGTCCATGTATCTTCGTATTTTTCCAAATGGCAGGTCTGTATGAACAGGTTAAAATCTACAAAACTTAAAAAAAGCTCTGACAACCACTACTATCAACCATGGCCACATATTTCTTAAAAACCTATTCTTACTGAAAAACATGTTGTTAGGGTCAAAAGTACTTTCAACTTTAGTATTAAAAGAAGCAACAGTGAAATCTTTTATTTTCAAGTATGAATTCTTTATGAAAAGAAAATTATCTTGGGAAGAAAAAGAAGCACTGTGCTGACAATATTAATTATTTTCTCAATTAGGAAAAAAAACTGGTAAAAGCCCAACAATTAGTGCAGTGTCCCATCTAGCACTTGAATCTGCAGTGTATCATTTTACAACATACATTAGGGTCGTAATGCCAGAGGGCCAGAAGTCATCATCTGATAAGTGAAAAAGAAAATTCCTTAGTTGACCTCTATATTTCACACGTGTAAAAAAGATGTCTGTATGGAAACCAATTTGACAATAAATTTCATATATTGAAAAAATAAATAAAAAATAAAAAAGATGTCATTCCTCCTGCGCATTCTCTTTAAACTATTCATTAACACCGTTTAAAACACATGACCTTCTTCAATCAAAAGACCTAAATCTAATGAGCAACAGTTGTTTACCAGCTGGCATGTGCTTTGAATGATGCTGGGGGGCAGGGAGGAGAAAGTATCCTGGGCTATTTTACTTGGTAATATTGAAAAGTTTATGGGTGGCTCAGTCGGGTAAACGTCTGTGTGACTTGATTTTGGCTCTGCGCTGACAGCGTGGAGTCTGCTTGGCATTCTGTCTGTCTGTCTCTCTCTCTGCTCCTCCCCAGCTAGTGCATGCAAGCTCTCTCACTCTCTCTCTCAAAATAAATGTTTTTTAAAAAAGAAAGAAAAAAATACTCAAAGGGTAAACTTTTTGTTATATGTATTTCACCACAATGTACATAAAAATACATAGCTTTCATGTTGGCAAGTTGCAACAGAACATTACCAGTGTAACATAATTGATGTATTTTTATCTAAAAGGAGTTTTCAGTTGTTTTTCGTTTGCTTGTTTTTTTAAATGTAACACAACACTACACTAATCACAAGGTTCTTTTATCTGGGGTTGGGGTTGATTATTCACCCAGCAAGAATCCTAGTCAGGAAAATAGCTGTGTCTCTTTAGGTGAGACTTACCTACCATTAGTCTATTATTGAGAACACCTGGGTCATGAGTGACAAAAATAAAGCCTAAAATTACTGAACCTTATTCAAAAGGCCATTTTCTTCGTCTAGCTCTTAAAGTCAAAATCCATAAAAGTCTAACAGATTAATCCTTATTTTACAAGAGAAAGATTGGAAATATAAAACTCTCAGAGCCAAGCAGATCTACTATAAGAACCACTTACACATCTGTTTTTATGTCCTTCAGAAATCAAGTCAAAATGTTATTCCTTGTGGTGTCTGAAAATTATCTGCTTCTTCAAGTCATCAAAATATTCTGCCTTCTATTTTTATTTTTTTGGTAGACTTGTTAATAGCATTTAAATATTCATACCTATACAACTTGTACGACTGAGCGTTGTAATATTTTAATTTAACTATTAAAGCAGAAAGGATTTAAACGTTCATACCTATATAACTTGTATGACTGAGCATTCCACAAAACAACTGTTCCATCAGCTGCGCCTGACACCAAACAAGTGGAGTCTGGGGAAAACTGGCAAACCCTCACGGGGCTACCACTGGGCTGTTCCATCACTGCCAAAGGCTCTCCATTTTGAGTATTCCATAGGACAGTGGTACCGTCTGTTGAACAGGAAGCCAAAATATGTCCTGAAGGGGAGAAACAGCAGCAGTGGACAGCATAGGTGTGAAGCTTCAATGGTGAGTGGGGCAGTTCAGTAAAGTCACTGAGGGAGTACAGGCGAATTGTTTTGTCCAAAGAGCAAGTGGCCAAGAGGGAAGAGGAGAATGCACAGCAGTTGACATCATCACCATGATCAGCTAATGTGTGGATTAGTTTCACCATGTTTCTTATTTGAAGTAAAATGTCCTGCAATTTTTAAATAAAGATTACTTCATCGTCGGAATCAAATAAATACAACTCAAGTCCACACAAAAGAGTCAAAATCAATTCAAGAGTTTTCTCAGAGATGGCTCCTACATTCATATTTTTACAGGACAAACTATTATACTTGAGATAAAAATAATTGGGACAGAAAATGCCAATAAGACTATAAACTCTAATGATGATCACAGTCACAACCGGCACACCAATAAAGTTCCATAACTCTTGAAAAAGAACCTTGTTGTGTAACTTCAAACTGATTTGATACTGAACATCCAAAACCTTGAGTATGTATTTCACCTCTGAAGCCTTTCCCTTAACTAATTACTTCTCAAAGATGCCTCATTCCAGATTGGCTACTCTCAACTCAAAAAGATTTTCCATTCTTAAGAAACTGTTTCAGCTGCTCCTTGCAGAGGATGGAGGCAAGGCTAAAGCTCTACCTTTAAGATGCATTTAACTGCACGGTTCACTCATAAAAACTAACAAACGGTTTCATTCAAAATTTCACTGGCAGCGTTGAAAGCTCTCGTGGTCCACCATCTTGCTTAATAAAGAATAAAATGATATCGAACACTTGAGGTGAAGAAACAATTTAATAAGTCAAGGAAACCAAGAGAAGGAAACCAAAGAGAAAGAGTGGCAATAAGGACTTAGCCAGACTGCGCGTAAGAACAAATTTACAAATTTAGAATGAAATCCAAGCCCTTTGTCCCTGCTTACAAAATGTTATATGATCTGGCTCTTGCCTGCTTCTCAGACCTCAAGTCCTGCCACTCCTCCTTTCCCTCATTTCCTTCCAGCCTCCCTGATCAAATGGATTTGGTCCTAGCTCTCCATAAAGTTGTTTTTCCATGTTGAAATTCTCTTCCCTTTGCTTTTGGGATCTTATTTCTCAATGTAAATTCCAAGGGAGTAGAGATCTTGTCCATCTTGCTCATTTCTATATCCATAGCACACAAAACAGTGTCAGGCACCTAACATGCTCAAATAAATACTTATTGCATATTTTTTCCCCAAATCCACTTGAGTTTTACCTTTAAGTATCATATATGAACACAATATAAAGTTATTAGAAATTTTAAAATAAATCTACCAATAGTAAAAAAAAAAAAAAATCCAGCAGGGGAAAAAATAATGCAAAATGAAACAATAATCGGCGCTGAAATACTCTTAGATTGTAATTCATGATCCCTTGTTAAAATGTTACTTACAGAATTCTTTACAAACATATGGAGCATAGCTTTACCAATATTTATCATAGCCCAAACTTCAGCATTTTTCCAAACATAAACTTCAATAAAGTCTTAAAAAAAAAAAAAAAAA